AAACCAGAGATATTTTTTTTTTTTTAAAACCAACAATTTTTTTTTTTTTTTTTTTTTTTTTTTCCCTCCTAGAGACAAGGGTTTGTTTTGATGGATTAGTAAATCCAGAAAGGCTAGAGAGCTCTTAATCCTTTCCCATTAACAGACTATTCATTCCTTCACTGATTCAGTAGATTGCATTAATCTTTTGTTCATCATCGCCGATAAAGGGAAGCTCTTCTAATTTTGTTACCCTTCTGTTCTGCAAGTATAGGGATGATATGCTGCATTTTCAGTATGTTGTTGCTGAATTCTGTGCCACACCATCATCTGATATGGATAATGTCGCTCAGTTTCTGAGGCAGGGTCTATCCAGGATGGAAACATAAGTGGTATAATAAGTTGGAGAATGATTTTTAGTGTATTGGAAGGTAGGAGAGCCTCAGATATGTCTTTGTAGTTGTTTTTAGCTTAGGGTTTTTAGCTTAGGGTTGGGTGGACATATAAGCTAAAGTGATTCTGTCCCACTGATAGTATTGCTGAACTTAGGGTTTTATAGCTTTCCTTTAAAATTACTATAAAGGGAGGTTTTTAGATTTCTTCTGAAACACAAGAGCTATTCAGAGAAGGCTTTAGATGATTTTTTTTTTTAAATTACCTTCCCATGTTCCACTCCCTCCATCCGAAAAAGAGGTTGAGAAATTTTGAGTAATGTTTTAAAAGATACTGTATATTTATGTTCTGTAACTGCAGCATTTTTGTTAATGTATTAGCATGATCCAGAGCAATATACATAGGTTTTCACAATGTCATTTATTTGTAATAAAATAGTACTCTGAAAAGATGAATATAATAGTTGCTAGGGGGTTAATTTAAGAATTTGACACTAAGTTGATTTAAGAGCTAGTGCAAAAATGAACTGATTTTTAAAGATCAGATTAGATGATATTTTTGTTTGTTTTGGAAAAATGGAGCTTCTTAGTTTATTCTATAAATTAATAATTAATGTCTCCAAATACTTAAGAATGTCCATTAATTGTTCTTTAGTGCTCTCTAGTGATTTTTCAAATGCAGTGCACAGTTGCTCTGCTTTATTAAAAATATCTGTTTCTGAAATCATTTATGCTTCTCTTGTATGGGGTCAAGTAGCAGGTTAGTAGATTTTTTGGAAGGAGTGTTTCTGCATTACAAGTTGATTGGCCTTATCTTAACTTGACCAGCATCTCTTCTTTCCTCTTGTCATCCAAGCCAGGAGGGGATCCTATAAAAAGAATGCAACAACTTGGTTTATATTGAACTTTTTCAATTGCAGTTGCTGCAAATAAATTGCAAATTTATTTGGCTCTTGAACAATATGGGAAGTGTTAAGTAATGACATGTAGTGCTGAATAGGATTGTAGCATCATAGGAATTTAGAATACATACATACTTATGAATTGTTCACTTCACCTAACAACAAGCAGAATTGAAAGCATACAAATAGAAGCTGTTATTTGAAACTCTGAGCTTTGGGGGAGAGGACCAGGGGCGGGGAGGTGGGACACTCAATGTTGTTGCCTTAAGAAATGTGTAACTTTTGATACCTAAATTTTCAACACTGCTTCTCTCAGAAAACTTAGCTTTTTCTAATTGTTTATTTTACTTTTACTCATGGCTAGTGACCAAGATTTTGTATTCCTTTCTTTCCTTCAGGGAGCCTAGAAAGGTCGTCCTGCATCGAGGATCAACAGGTCTTGGTTTCAACATTGTTGGAGGAGAAGATGGAGAAGGAATTTTCATTTCTTTCATACTTGCAGGAGGGCCCGCTGACCTGAGCGGAGAGCTTAGGAAAGGAGATCGTATAATTTCTGTAGGATTCCTTGCTTCTTTTATTTAAACAACAAAGGTTTTCCCCTCCCTGGATATTAGTGCCAGTTAATATGATTTATGGACAAAGAATATCATTAACTGAGCTAAATTTGAGACAATGGAACAGATGCCAGTATACTTCCGAAGTATCTTTGAGGACTTTAGTCTGCCTCAGTTTCTCATCTGTAACCTGATTAAAATAGCACTTTCCTGTCTCAGAGATCTTTTTTTAAGTGAAGACATTAACTTCTCCTAGTCTGGTAGTTGAGGGGGGTGTGTGCCTAAATTGAAAGAATGCAGGCTTCAGAAATAAGCCTTCTACTGAGATGGAAGCGATTGGCAGTAGTGTCTAAAATGGGGTGCTTTACTTCCTGGAGTAACTACTAAACTTCCCATTAGTCTTAAACAGATCCATCTCATACCTGTCTGAGGGCTTTTTCTATATTAGTACTGAAGGTCATAAAGAGTTTGTGTGTTTCTTTGTGAAATGACTTAATTTATGGAGAGTCATTTCTTTGGACAATTCTGTTGTAATTTGGTAGGTATTTAAGAGGAAAAAATAACCTTGGCTCTGCTGTTATTAAAATGCTGATATTAAAGTGCACCTTTATTTTAGTTTGAACTATGAAAAATACTTTTGGTCTAAAATGTAACACACATTTCTGCTTCATTTTTTTCTGACACTATTTTAAAATCTGCTGCATTGAAAACAAGGCTAGACAATTTTATGGAGGGTGTGGTCTGTCACTGGATCTTAAACATAATGGTCTGTAGGCATGCTTTGGCTAAGGAGGTCCCTGAAGCCCTGTTGTAGAAAGGTGAGGTGAACCATCAGAGAAAGTAACATTCTCTGTGTCTCCTTAAAAAAAAAAGAAAAAGGTCTTAACAAGAAAATTGACCTAGCGAATACAAATTCATTAAGTGATATGCTATGACGATTACAGTATTTCTGAAGAGGGGTATATGTGAGAGAGGATTTGTTGATTTTGGTTTTCATTAAGGATCAGTAATCTTTGTATTAACTAGCTTATAATGTTGGAAACAGGGAAAACTCACATCGTATGGAAACTGTGTTCTGTGATGGTGAACACAAACATTTATTTTGATAAAGAGCTTTTTTGTATTATTTGTAGGTAAATGGAGTAGATCTAAAAGCAGCAACCCATGAACAGGCAGCAGCAGCCCTGAAGAACGCAGGCCAAGCAGTAACTATCGTAGCTCAGTATCGTCCAGAAGGTAAGGGTTGCCTCATACATTCAGAACTTGGTAGAAATACCACATTGTTATTTTTGTATTTCACAATTGTCTTCACTCTTTAATATGGTGGTTTTATTTTCCTTAGTGGTAGGAGAATAAAAGACTAATTCTTTTTCTGTTGCGTTGATTCAGATGACCTAAGGAGACCATCAGGTTTTCATTCCTCTGTTTTGTACTGAGCTGGTATTTCTGTTTACCCAGCAATTTCTTCTGGTCCAGATTAGACTGCAGCTGATGCTGAGTAACCATCCTTGTGTGTTCTGCAGAAGCCAAATAATGCTGCCTCATCACAATACACATATTTGTCCTCTTGTATTTCTACAGCACATTTCAAATGCCTTTGTCTATTTGAGACTTCAAAAAATTCAAGAGTCTAAAATTATATGCTTACCTTGAGTCTGTAAACCCATATATTATTGTTTATAATAAGAGATTTTTTTAATGTCTTAAGATGAACTGTGATGATCAACAGCTTTCTCCGATTTTGCTAAATTGGATGGCCCATCACTAAATCTTCCCTTCAGTGACTTGTCTGCTTAAACCTTTCCTTTAACAGCACTGACAAAGGGTAAGTGTAGGTGTTTATCAGAACTGGACATTGAGCAGGACTGCTGCCTTCGTCTGAAATTTTTAGGTAGCTGATTGCAGCACACTTTTCATTCTTTATTTCTTCTCTTCTGTCACGTTTCTCTTATCCTGGCCTCCCCAAGTCTTTGAAACATTAGCTTTCACATTCCCCTCCCCTTCCACCTGCATCAACATCATGTATCTCCACTGACCCAGGAACTCTGTCAGTAATAAGGCCAACTGATTTGTTTGTGTCTAGTTCTTGGTCTAGTTCCCTGCAGCCAGCCCATGTTGTCAGTGCCTGTATTGTCTTGAGGTGTGCATCCTGTTCACATGTTGAATCTGTAGATTGCTCTGTACCAGGATTCGTTTTCTAGGAGTGCTTGCTCTGAGACTTCTTTTTAGAAAGAATAGTAAGGTCAGCATTGGTTCTGGAATACTTGCTTTGCCTTTGTGTTAGAATTGTCAAATATTTCTGTTGATACACATTTGGCCTGTCCTCTGCTTAGCTCTTCAGTGTTGTAACAGGTGGGTCAAATTGTTATACCTTCTTGCTCCCTGCATAGGGATCCCTCACCTTCGTGAGAAATAAAACTTGTGCTTTTATTTGCCCATAAGTTGTCCTTTTGAGCATCTGGCCACTTTTTTGTTCAAAGAGGGCATTCTTGGTCACTATTTCTTCTGCCAGTAAGATATGTTGAGATGTGGCTCCTAGTAGCAGAACAGATGTTTCTCCGGTAGCACATATCCCAGGACATAAGCACTTTTTTTTTGTCTTTGCCGAAAAATGTATCCAGACTGTATGGAAAAGCAACAGTGTTTCAGTCCTCTCTGTCTGGGATTCAGGCTTTAAAAAGAAAAGAATCCCTTCATACTTTGAAAGTCAGAACTCCCTTTTCCTTTTAGAATAAGAGAACTCAGTATTTTGGATGGTTCCTGCTCTTTCTGCATTGGAAGTAACAGCTTTCTTCATTATCACTTGTCCAAGTAGATAACTTACTTTCTTGAAACATGTATTGAGGTGCTTGACTGACTGATGGGATTTTGAGTCATTGCGCAGAGATTTGCCCAGAGCAACATACGCTGCCTTTTACAAATTTCTCAACGACTGTCACTTGTCGACTTCAAACCTAGAGCTGTACTCATTCCTTTGCGACTACTGAAGCATTCAGAATAAGACTGCATGCAGTTGAGCTGTATTGAGAGTGCAATTCTCAAAGAATTATAGGGCCCATTTGAGAGGATGCATGTGGGAGCTGTTACTTGAATTATCCTAGATTATGGGCAGACATCTGACACGTTATTCAAAGAAAGGATTTCCCCCCAGAAATAGTGCTTAAAATCTCCATTTGGAGTGAAGGTGTTGGAAGCATGTTAGGGCTTACTCTACCCTTTTGAAGTATATCATGAAGGAAAAGTGTAACTAGAGATTAAGATCCTTTGTGGTTTGGAGACAAAGTATGAATTAACAACATGGGCAACGTACCTCAGAGTGCTCAGGTTACTGATGTCTGACTTTGACATCTCTGCTTGCCTTTTCCTTACTCCTCGTAAAAGAGGTTGAATGGAACTCCAGCTGTCATCTTCTTTCAGGTCTGATGTGGGAGGTAGGTTAGATCAGATACTCACTGTTCATATCTTAGAGATTAGTAAAGAGAGTATTTCCTTAAAGGTTACTGTTTGTTTATTATGATAGGAAAGCAGTCTGTTTTGAGATTTGACTTTTCAAATAGAAAATATCATCCATGTGATTGAGGGTACTTGATAAAAGTGCGTATGTTCTTTGATCACCTTCAGATTCCCTAATGGATGGTCGTCTTTTCCCCTCACTTGATGATTTAAGTTGGGAAATTTTATATCTATATATATATGTATATATAATTATCTCCACTTTTTGTTTGTGCCATTCAAGAAAAAGGTTAACATGTATTAAAATGAAGAGTTCATAAAAATGTCGTTCATCATTGGTGTTTCTCAAATGTCTTCGTAAAGATGAAGAGCATCAGTTATAAGTGCTTGTATTGCACCTGTGTTTTATTTATATTTATAAATCCAGTAGGATTTTGTAAAAGATGCTGACAGCTAGGACAGATCAAGGAGATTCTAGACATCCATCAGGGCTCATTATAGCTGTGTAAATAGATTCGGTATGATAGGAGCATTTGGAAGACACTTGGGACCAGCTCACTTCACTCCCTGTAATTCTTTATGACAGTTTATATGTTCATAGATGTGGTGGGGAATGCTAATCTATGTTTTTACATCCTACCACATTAGCTCTATCAGAAAGTCCCCATTTGTCTTTCTCCTCAGATTTCTGGGGAAAAGAGGATTTTTGCAAGCAGTTCTCTCACAGAAAAGCCTGAGTAGGCTGTAGAAAAATTAATCTTTGGAAAAGCCCTATCATGGAAAAGATTGAATTTTCCATATCTATCTCTTCAAATCCAATTAGACAACATGGTTTATCAAACGCTAGTGACTGGACTTGGGCAAGGCTAATATGGCTGAACGATACTGCTTTTATTATTATTATCTGGGCTCAAATTACATAACTGCTGACTTTTTTTCCCTTAAATCTCCAAAATGTTCCTTGGTTACAGAATCGGGTAAAACCAGATGTAATCTCATTCCTTAAAATATCCTTCTGGGCATTCATTTAGTTTCCAGCAGTGTTCTGTAAATCTGAGAGATGCCTTACAAAATTTTCCTACTATACTGAACCAAATTTCAGCAACTTGCCAGTACTCTTTGGGATAGCTAAAAGCCAAATAGGGAATGTGAAGGTATTCTCCCTTTTACAAGAGTGACTCATGCATCAGGCACCACTTCTGCAGTACCACAATTGTAGTCAGTTGACTTCTGCTTTCTCCTTGTGAGTCCATGCTTTACCTTGCAACTTGCCTACGAGTTATTGTTGTAAAATGCTGCGTCACCTATTTGGTTGTACTTCTACATACTTTTGTGGTACGCACACACACACGCACACGCGCGCGCGCACACACACACACACACACACACACAATATCTCCCTAGTTGCAGAGATCACTGTGTTTGAACCTGCTGGGGCTGGATGCTGCAGAGGAAGAGTCCACGGTAAGAGAAGAGCAGCAAGGGGGAAGCATAGTACTTTCCAGAGGTGTAGAGTCCTTGGAGGGCTCTCCCCTCATTTCGCATTGACATTTCCATTGTTATGTCCATTCAAATTAAAAGGTCATCTGAAACATTCTTATGTGTTTTGAGGATGACATAATAATAGCGTTACTTCAAAATTCAGAATTTCTGGAAGGTTAGATTTTGCCATTTTGAAAAGGTATGAGGTGCCAGTAGGCTACTGTAACTGTATTATAGCTTAAGTGCATGTAAGTGTTTAAAATTAAGAAGAATAGCCAAAGAAATACATTAAAAATATATCTGGTTGAAATTGGATAGAAAATAATTTTGTGGATTAAACATTTTTTCTCAAGGATCCACTTGACATACTGAGAGAAAAAAAAAATTATAATTTTAACTAGGACAGCAGTCTTTTTTCATGTGAGTTATCAGCTGCCTGTTACTTAGAATTTAGAATCTACATTGGTCTTTGTAATTCAGTTGATCGAATCCATCTCTATATATCCACTTCTTTTCTGAAAGAGGAGCAAGATGATTACGTGATCAGATTAGCTCCATGTTCTTAGATGACTGGGTGGATCAGTGTAAGATGAGGAGAAGGTGGAGCGAAAACCTCAAGAGAAGATTTTAAGGTATTTTTTGTAAGACCTCTGCTTCTGAACTCACATTGTTCATATAGGTAGTTTACACATGTTTCTTTCAACTTTATTAAAGGAAGTAAGTGAATCTCCATGGTAAAATGTGTTCAAGATTCATAGTTCAATCAAAACGCCTCATACTTTGTTAGCCAGATTTTTAGGTGGATTTTCCTGGGGGATTTTTGTTTGTTTGTTTTGAAGGAATTTATTCATCTACTGAAAATAAGATCTAAGTATGACAGCTTTGTATTTTTCATCCTTGCTTGTCTTTAAAACAAATGAGTCAAAAAAAAAAAGAAAAAAAAAAAAGGATGGGAGGGGAAAAAAAAAAAGGATGGGGAACTTTGTTAGAGCTTACCTTTCAATGACCAATATTTGGCCAATTTTTGTGTTTGTGTCGCTTCATCTATGCATTGTTTTCTAGTGGAATTTAAAACAGAATAACTAAGCTCTGGGAAATGGTAGCACTTTCATGTGTATAAGCTAAGATTATTTTCTGAGCATTTGTCTTGAAATATATTGTAAATCTTCTGTTTGTAAAAAGTCCAGCTGGAGGAGCACAAAGCCAATGCTTTTGCAAAACTTAGTTTTCAGTATTTGTTTTGTATCAAAGAGGATGAGCTTCCCGTGCTTTCTAGCTGAGAACATGGATTGTCTTAACCA